ACAGGCCAGGAGGGCAATCTGATAAAGACAGCAGCCCTGACCTTGACTGTTTCACCCTTTATCTCTTTATTTCCTTCTCACTCTCAGTCCCCCCACCTTTATCTCACAAGCTGATAAACTCTTGTCATGCCTGTGAGAGATAGAGCTCCTTCCTGGTTCACCGCCAGGTCTCACCGAGCTGAAGACAGCCAGTCATCTTCCCCTCTCTGTGACCAGAGACCCGAGTGTCTCAGTGTGTCAGCCTTTCCCTCCACTCAGCAGTTCTCGATTTTACTGTTTTTTGAGTCGCGATCACGAGTTACTTAGCTTCTTTTCCCAGCTTGTTCTAAGTTCACTCACAGGCGAACCCAGTACCAAGTGGCCCCACCTCAGTTATCCACACTGCCCCCCCCCCCAGGTCAAGAAGAAACTGCACCCCGGGACTCCTAGGTACCTGGACAAACCATCTCCTGTCCTCGATCAATGACAGCACTGCAAGCTCACAGGTGTCCCACACTGCTCAGGCGTCCCACACTGCTCAGGCATCCCACACTGCTCAGGTGTCCTATACTGCTCAGGGGCCCCACACTGCTCTGGTGTCCCAAATTGCTCTGGTGTTCCACACTGCTCCAGTGTCCCACACTGCTCAGGCATCCCACATTGCTCAAGGGGCCCACACTGCTTAGGCTGAGCAACAAGCTGCTTGTGTCTGGACCTACTGACTTGAAATGGGAATAAACTCAGGTTACTGGTGGGTTGTTAGACGCAGTTACCTCACAGCTCCTGGGTCTGGGGTTTGATTCTGGATCCTGCAGCCCTGGTTGAATGTATATTTTCTCCAGGTGCTCGGGGTTTATGTGAGCTAGGTCAGTTTCCCTTTCCCTGCAAGAGCAATGGACTGGCACCCTGACCAGGACGAGAACAGCCATGTGCTCTAGGGCATTGTGTTGCCTCGGCCCTGAGCAGGATGAAAGTCTTCAGAAGCGTGGGGACAGAGTCTGCCCATCAGCCCCGCAGGGCCACCAGTCCGGTCTCAACTCTGAACGAGTCTACAACAGCAAGGCCACTGGACTGGAGTCTGCTCTCTGCACATGGAGTGAGCGAGAAGCCATCTGTCACATACATTCACACACACATTAACACAATAACACTCACACATTCACACACAGACATACAAAAACACACATTAAAACACATAGACTGACACACTAGCACACTCACACATAGATATTAACACACACACTAGC